GTACCATAAAGCCACCCTTTGGTTGAACTGTACAATATTTAGCCATGATTCTGCTGACGTATGTGATTGCAGCAGAGTATAGAAACCAAAGAGTACTGTATAGTACTCCTTGATAGTAAACACATTACAAGTCGTGGATGAGTAGCGTTAGTACAATAATATACCACACCAAGAAAGAGAAGGTATTGGGGCCTGCAGCTCAATCCTCACAAGTCTAGCCTCTTTCTCCACCTTCAGGTGAAAGGAGGTGTACAACACCTACTGTTTTCTTATATCACGAGGTCTTTCTTCTCTTTCCATGTGGGTGGTTTGTGGGCGCTCTGATCATGTGGTCTGATCCCTCTTTCCTATCAAACATCTATCATCCTTATCTCTCCTCTTTATAATCTTTGTTCGTTACTCCCTAGTAACACCTCTAATCTCTGGCATTTGTGTGTTATTTGTGACACTGACGATCATGGTTCCCCCATTCCATCCTATCGTGTATCTTCCGGATCAGAGAATTCTTAGTGGTTGGTTGGCCGGTGCTCTGGGTGGTTTGCTCCTTCTTTCCTATCAAACACCTATCATCCTTATCTCCCCTTCTTCTTTTTTATATTTGTTTCTCTCTTGTAACATCTCTAATCTTCTAGCGCTCATATGACTCTATGCTAAAACCTCTACTAAAACTAAAACAGAATTCTTATTGTGTTTCTTCTTCTGTACGCTGGAACATTGCACTCTCCAGCCACTCACACCACTCCATCACTCTGCAGACAAATGAAAGACAAAATATTGTGGAAACCACACACATTATTTTATCAAATTTCCACACATTTTTATTTGTGATGAGAGCAGATTTTACATTTATAATGAAGAAACGATCACGATGCAGTCACGGTCATTTTCAAAGGGCTTTCAATGTACAAAAACAAAGTGGTAAAAAAGATGATCAAAATCACACTACACAGGGCTCTGACATCACATTCCGTGAAAGGCTTGTGTTTAATTAAACAGTTTCACAGCTTTTTGAACACAACCATGGCTGTATAAGAATTTTTGTGTGTTAAGCTTTAGTACTTGCAACCCAAATTATAACTCATCTAAGTGTCAAAAGATTACAGGTGTTACTCGGGAGTAACATAAAAGAATATAAAGAGGAGAGATTTAAGGATGAAAGATGTTTGACAGGGAAGAGGGATCATGCCACATCAGCAGAGCATCCACAAACCACGAAAGAGAGAAAAGACTTTGTGATATATATGTGTTTTATGCCCCCATTGGTACAGTTTAGATCAAGCCAAACTTAAAAGATTCCCCACCTAACTAGACTAACAAATAGCTTTGCAAGGATTCAAACCACACAAACATGCAGTAACATGTCTTTGCAAATAACAAACTCACAACATATAAATCAGATATGCCTAGCATCAAGAATAAATGAGGCTACAGTAAGTTGTTTTTGGTATTTTTTGTGTGTTGGCAAAGGCACCTTCTTAAAAAAAAACAAACCAACCCAACTTATTGCAGTCATTTTTTTTTAAAACATCTCCAAAGACAGGTTACTAAAAATCCTGAATGAATGTGAACCAGTAAAGCACTCTGCACAAATAATGGCCCAACCACTACACCACAGACACTGGAATCATCGGAATCCCTGTACTAAACTTTCGGCAAGTTTTATGGCACTTGCAATACAAACAAGGCCCTATAAGTGCTGAAGATTAAGAAGTGTTACCCAAAAAAGGAAGAAGAAAAAGAGATAAATTTATATATATATATGGTAGATGTTTGATAGGAAAGAAAGATTTGAACCTGTAAAGAATACCAACTTTTAAGCCTTTAAGGTATATGATTCCACTGATAAAGTATACCATGAGAGCCCTACAAGAGAATAATGAGTGCTGTTTTTTGTTCGATTGTACAAAATACTTCATAGCTACTCCCCATATTCTGTCCTACACAGGATAATTGTGTGTGTGCCTGGAAACAGGTCAAAGTTGTCAGAAATTTTGGATATTGAAATAAGGGTACATTCTTGTGGCAAATTCAATGCTGAACACACTGAACTTTTAATTTTGAAATATATCTTGAGTTCGTAGTTTTAAAGATAAGCCACGTTTTGTTACACATAGGGTGTGTAAAAACAAAGATTGGGGGAAACTAAGTGAGTTGATCCAATTTCTAGGATGTTTTTAACCTTTGATAAAGTACAACATTTTGCAACAAAAATTAATTAAAAAAATATTTAGACATAAAATATAAAATCCTTTCAATATGTTGTTAAGAGATGGTTAAAGTTAAACCCTATGGAACTAAATTTTTGACCAGGTTCGACCGAAGGGCTAACTAGAACCCAAATGGCCGCTGGATCGGAGAAGTAAAGTAAAATAAAGTAAAGTAGAACCAGGTTCGCCTTTTTGGGCCTTTTCCCCCTGCTGCTCAAAAATAGCTGTGCTGACAACTTGAACCTTTCTCCAGGCACACACAAAGTTATGTAACAATAGATATCATGATGACGACTAACACTAAAATGTGGCATTTTACTTTGAAATATCGGTCACTTTCTCTACCAACACATCACACACGGTGGCTTTTGTTTTAGTAGAAGTTTTAGGGCGCTCGCAACTGCATAATGTCATATGAGCGCCAGAAGATTAGAGGTGTTACTCTCTTGAGTAACAAACGTAAAAAAAAGAAGAAGGGGAGATAAGGACGATAGATGTCTGATAGGAAAGTAGAAGCAAACCACACCAGAGCACCCGCCAATCACACACCCACTGTGGCTTGACAGTTTATACGAAAAACCCGACCAACAAAACATGCATACCCGTTCTCTTACAGTACAGCAGGGATCGGAAACCACATAATAATAATAATAATAATATAAAAGATAGCCTTTGTACAGTGCAAATTCCCGCTCAACAGCAAGCTCTATGCACTTTACAATCTTTAATATTATTACCCGAGCAGACCCGATGGCATTCCAAAACAAGCCCAACTTCCTGGGAAGCTTACAGTGCAAGCTGCCATTTACAGGCACTAAAACACTAATACACAGACAAGATCTCTCGCTGCCTCAAGCCTAATGAATGTTTCCACCCAGCCTAATGTTTCTTTTCTCATTTACTATATATCCTATAGCCTAATGGGCTTTGCTATGCATATTTTGTTTTTTTTCTTTACAAAAAGTCAGTTACATATATGCATATGATTAAGAGTTGTCATTTAGTTTTAGTTGAGGTTTTTCGGCACTCGCAACTGCATAAGGTCATATGAGCGCCAAGGGGTGGATGTCAACAGAGAAGTCCTTACAGGGAATCAGACTTACTCTGCTTACCTCTCTATCTTCAGCAGCACAAAGTCTGCTTCGACTATCAAGGCACCCCCGGAAATAGCGGGTTACAAGAGTGTGACAAACATACAAAAGAAATAGAGGAAAATGACGATAGTAAGGATTAGGAAAGAAAAACCAGTAGTTCCCTGTTGTAGATCAGGCACAGTTATGAGAATGACATTGTTAGATCAGCCCATTTACAATTCTATTGCGCACTAGAACGAGAATTGTCCCCCCTTTGGGAATGACCTAAAGACACTTCACTTAGTGGCACCGCCCTGGGAGGTAAGAGTTGCCATTGTCATCACTCGGGGGCTCTACTGATCAAGAGGTACAGTGTTTGCCTATTAGTCGAAACGTTCCATATATTCAAAACCTGAAAGCTTCTCTAAAATGTTCTCCTTTGTCTACCTTTTCTGTCCTCTATTTCTGTTCTGTTATCAGTCTTTATCCCCCCCTCTCCCTCCCCCGACCCCCTCTTAGCTCTTCTCTTCCTCGCTCTTGATTCCTTCTTGCTGCTGTCTTTCAGCAACACCCCTGACCTTAGAGTAGGTAAGATCGAATACCAAGCCTAGATGGATAAGGGCAAAACATCATGGGGATTCCGTGTACAAGTTGTACATGCAATTACGTAAATGATCCCTTGGTGGTTCTAAAATTCGATAGTGTAGGCTTCGGCTGCCATCTGGGCAAAACTCACAAATAATTTCTACCAAAACTGAAAATATTGTAGTTAGTATAAAAAAAAAATAGAGTAGCTTCAAAATAAAAACGTGGCTGCCTGAAGGCAAGGGACACTACAACGTAGGAAAAAGAGGAGAGATGAGGAGATAGAAGTTTGATAGGAAAGAAGGAGCAAACCACACCAGAGGACCCGCCAACCACCCATCTAGTGAGCTTTCTCTGAACTCCTGTGAGATCTAGTGGGCCAAAAAGATTGCCGACCCCTGTCCTGCACAATGACTGCCCTTGACAGATACAGCCACACAATTGTTTTACATCATTTTCACAAACATGAACATATAAAAAACAGTTTCATATACATGAACATATGAATACTTTTACGACAAAATATGACTAATGCCATCTTTTAAATCTGGTCAAACTAGTACCTGCATATCTAGAAAGGTGAGGCACATTCCAGTATCAACCCTCCTCCCCCCCCCCCCCCCCCCAAACCAAAAAAACCCACAGCAATTTTTTCCTCTTTAAAAACTGCAGAAAGTTACGCTTCTTTAAAAACAAAACACGACAAAAGCAGTAGACCTTTCTGACAAACCACAATTTACCGTCCGTGCATCAATCAAATTCTTTCCCTGTGTCGCATGAATCCATTTGTAGTTGATGAAAGTTTGTCGGCAGTCTTTTCCCTTCCTTATTACTGTTACATCATATATGTCGCGGTTTGCCAAAAATGTGTGGCAATCCCATCAATTTAAAGGATAAGAATTCAACATGGAATTCAGTTAGCAAATATCAGCTAAGCCTAACATTATGTTTACTCTAAAAACATAGTTGCTTTGGATTATTCAGTCAGTAAATGGGTGAAGAACAGAAATCTCCAATTTTCTCAGAACTGGAAAAATGGATAGGTCGCATTTTGTCGCGAAACTGTTCATATTCAATGTATTGATTACAGACAAAATTATAGACTAAAAGATGAGAAATGACAACAGAACAAACCTTGAAATATGTAACAACCTGTTTTGCTTTTTTTTAGTGTGTTGTTTTTCTCTTTAAACAAGAAATCAGACCCATAATGACACTTACAAAACAGAACCATTTGAGAACTAGACAGATACTTACAAAACAGAACCATTTGAGAACTAGACAAATACTTACAAAACAGAACCACTTGAGAACTAGACAAATACTTACAAAACAGAACCACTTGAGAACTAGACAAATACTTACAAAACAGAACCACTTGAGAACTAGACAAATACTTACAAAACAGAACCACTTGAGAACTAGACAAATACTTACAAAACAGAACCATTTGAGAACTAGACAAATACTTACAAAACAGAACCATTTGAGAACTAGACAGATACTTACAAAACAGAACCATTTGAGAACTAGACAGATACTTACAAAACAGAACCATTTGAGAACTAGACAGATACTTACAAAACAGAACCATTTGAGAACTAGACAGATACTTACAAAACAGAACCACTTGAGAACTAGACAGATACTTACAAAACAGAACCATTTGAGAACTAGACAAATACTTACAAAACAGAACCATTTGAGAACTAGACAAATACTTACAAAACAGAACCATTTGAGAACTAGACAAATACTTACAAAACAGAACCATTTGAGAACTAGACAAATACTTACAAAACAGAACCATTTGAGAACTAGACAGATACTTACAAAACAGAACCATTTGAGAACTAGACAAATACTTACAAAACAAAACCATTTGAGAACTAGACAAATACTTACAAAACAGAACCATTTGAGAACTAGACAAAAACTTACAAAACAGAACCATCTGAGAACCATACACTTAAAAAAATAATAACAATTTAAGAACCATACACTTACAAAACAGAACCATTTGAGAACAATTCATTTACCCAAAAAAACCATGGACCACTTAGGAATCATGCACTTACAAAACATTACCATTTGAGAACCACAGCATAAAATATAAAGACATCCACACAAAGTTGAATTAAGGCTGTCCGATCAGAATGCTGCTAACACAAAGACAACAATACTGCCTTAAGCTGACAAAATGCCTTTTTTCATTTTTGGCCCCACATTTTTTTATTTGCGATATCGAAAGCCCGATACCCCACTTGTGTGAAAAAAATCAAAGTGAAACTGTGACTAGTACTAGAATACAAATTTTGGAAAAATGTCTTTTTTAAATGGTTATGCTAACAAAAAAAAGTTTGTTTATTTCTAAACTGTTGTTGTAAATATTTTAAAAAGCATTTTGTCAGCTTTTGGTAGAGTCGAACATGCAGAAACTTGGCACCAAGAACTGCCAGTCTCATGCTAATCCGACAAATTGATTGTAAATGTTTATGTTCTCATTGACCTAATTTGGACAATTTAGGAGGCAGGCTGTGTTTGGCCCTGCCTGTCAAGGCCAAGGCCAACCCGGGCTGGGCTGGGTGGGATATAACATCACAGCACACAGGATGATGAACTAATCTCTCCGTCCTTAATAGTCCACAGAACAATCACCCAAACCCTCTTCTAAGACTCTCCGATGTGCATGATTGAAAAAAAAAATTAAGGCTTAAACAGTGCCAAGAAATAAGGAATCTCACAGTGAAATTCATTGTGCTGAATACTGCACAATTCACTAACTTCAATCAGCAAAAAAGAAGAAACAGAAAAATGCACATTATATCTATTACAAAAATTTATATGCAGGACAAGAAAGAATGAAAATTTAATACAGAAAATAACAGAGCCTTGAACAATACTCATTTTTCACTTGCTGAATACAAAAATAAAAACAAACAACATTTAATGCCACAGGCAAATCATTACTTAACTTTGAGAGACAGTGGCAGAAAAAGATACAAGACAGACCATTACTTTAGCAAGATCAAGGGATAACATGCGATGTTAAAAAGAACTAGGTCATTAATCATAGAAGTTTTAGGTCTCCTTCCGTACTGTTAATTTCATTTAGGAGACAGGCTGTCTGCCAGGGCCAACACAGTCTGAAAGGGATAAGATGCTCCAGCAGACAGATGGAGGTACTAGATAAAAATTCTTCCCACATGAGAGTTGAACTCACCTCTATTACGTGTGATGGTAAAGCACCAAACTGCTACGATACAACACAGACATGTTTGGTCTACAAACTGTTTTTTTTTTTTTTAAATGAGTGTTAAGAGTTTCATGACCCTTTCAACACAAATAGGTCACATAAGTGCAAAAGATTAGAGGTGTTAGAAGAGAGTAACATACCTAGAAAAGGGGAGATAAGGATGATGAAGGTTTGTAGAAAAGACAAAGCTAATAACACCAGAGCATCTGTCAACTATCCACAGTTTTAATGACTGTTTGCATTCACAAAGACTACACATTATCAAGCAAAGCTACAACAAGCAAAAGAAACAACACAAAAGCCAGCCACAAGAAGAGAAAGTTCAGTTTTAGTTAGAGCTTTACCTTTTACATGCAACAAAAAAAGGGTCATACAAGTGACTAAGATTAGACGTGTTCCTAGAGAGTAACACATGGAGACAAGAAGGAAAGAAAAGGATGATAAATGTTTAGTAAGGAAAGAAGGAGCAAACCGTACTCCACACAAAACGACACTTTCGGTAAAAGCTACAAAGCAGACTTTCTACATACAACTCCAGCAGCTTTTTATCAAATCGTTGACATCCGAAAAAAAAAAGAAGAGAGAAAAACTTTTTTGTATGCATGGGGACAGGACACGGAGTAAGTAGGTAGAATCTAGTCTTCAAGTTTGAGTTAAATAGAAGCACATCAACACAAGGATGGTCATTTTGTGCCGCGGAAAAAAAAAGATGTGAAGATCTTTTTTGCGGCTGAGATATGGGCCACAATACAAAAATATTTATGGCCCTTGAACTTTGATATGTGTGCGGCGCATACACTTGGTCCTGTTAACTATATTCAAATACTCTCACTTACATGCTATAAAACACAAGTGTTAAGCACTCCAACTATTGTACAAACATCCAAGATAAGCACAAAACTGTAAACAGATGACTTTTCTGTGACAAAAGAAAGGAAATAACAAAAGAGAAGGCAATCACTCTCGCATAACTATAACTGTCAAACCTGCTATGATGGTCATCTGTCCAAGACAATCACTTGTACAAATGATCACTTGCTGCTTCCCCCCCCCCTTGTATTTTCTTAGTATCATCATAACACTGTCCACAAAGTTCAGTTGTCTAACACAACCATTTTTTAAAACCCTCGATAACAGGTGGCTGTCTTGAACAATTTTGACTGTGCTTGATATGACTTTTCCACACTTGAACTGAATCATGTGCTTGGCATGCAAAAGTGCCGCAAAATTTGCTGACACAAGATTCAGCACTGAAAGAGTATAAATTTAGTGCCGATAAAGTCATCTCCTCTTTGTTCCTTTCAAACTGAGCACAAACATGGTAGACCTTCTATCTCCAAGATGGAGTTAGCACAACCACACACTTTTCCAATCCAGTGGCAATCTGAGTTTTAGCCCTTCAACCTGTTTCACACACACAAACACACCAATTATACAAAAGCATATTTAAAGTAACCAACCACGATGTGTCAGCAAGATTGGCTTGGCTGACTGGCTAATCAAATTCATCAAGAAATATATCAACTCACAATGGAGCTCCAGATGAATCAAATTTAAGTTCTCAAAACATCAACTCACTACGTAGAGCTATGCGAAGCAAAGTTCATCGAGTAAACAGCAAGTCACTGCAGAGCCCCTGGTGAATTGAAATTCAAGAAAACATTCACTCACTGCAGAGCTGTAAGTGCATCATGTTCATTAAAAAAAACCCCATCAACTCACAACAGGTTAGCTCTAGGCGCATCAAGGTCATAAAAAAACATTAACTCACTGTGGAGCTCCATCGTATAAACATGTCATGGAGCAGAAGTAGTACCAGGCATGAAAACTGCCACATCTTGCCAGGAAGAATGTAGAACATTAGCAACACTGAAGAGATGTCATTCGTATTAGATGGCATCACAGCACCCACCAGCCACTTTAAAAGACCAAAAGGGAACAAAAATAGGAACGGTACCACGGGAGTGGGGAGGGCAGACAAAAAACTTTGGGGCTGTTAGCAAAGCCGAGGTGCACAAACACTGAGGACACAAACTTTTATTGCACTAAAAATAAAGTCACAAGTCATGAAAATTGATGCTTTTGGCATTCCCGAAATTTCCATGGTTGAAGCGCTCGGATGCAGAAAGAAGAAGTACAGTAGTCTCAGAGAAAGACTCAGCTGTCTACAGTCAAGTCAGGTCAAGTCAGAAATGTAAGGAATTTTTACTATGAAAATTTGCCACACAAAACCTGACTGATCAAAAGACATCTAAGATCTTGTTTCTAAGGTTTTCTGAGCCTTCATATTGTTGAAAAAACCCTCTGTAAGCTTAATTGAGACGTTCCTAAGAAAAGTGCTTGTCCTATGTAGTAAGGAATGTTGTGCAGTCAAGGGAGTTTTGGCACAATAAAAGAGCGACAATAAAAGCATGAAGAAGGTAGAGACAGACTCAAAGCACAAGTAGTTGCAGTGGACTTTCTCCAGCAAGTTAGCAATATGACAATCACATTTTACCAAAGAGCAGAGTAAGACCATTACAACATTGAAAAGGAACAGAGGGAGCAGATCACACCAAAGCAAATATACCAACTGCTCGTTTGAAAAGAAGCATAAGCTGACACAACGACAAATAATAGATATGAATTGAAGGGAGACATTAATGAAGTGCCTGTCATCAGACGAGGATGATAAAAACAGGCTCAGCAAAAGAACAGAAAAGAACTGCGATTTTCGAGCACCCTGTTCCAACTGCCTGGAAGAGGAACCTTATTGCCATGTGAATTACAGAGGCAGTTCTCAAAAACAGAACTTCTAGACATTTTTTTTCCGTACTTCCATCTCAGAACATGCAAGGCAAAGTTCATTGCCATAAAGAAAATGTAGCTGACAGCATCCTCAGACCTGCCAATCACTGCATGACCGAAAATGAGCTTTCCTTTCAACATTTCTTTAAGAGTTTGGGGGGAAAAACTGGAGCCTCCACACCCCAGTAGATCAGGATTACATAAAGTGAGCGTGGCGAATAAATGTGTTTTGCAAATAGATGAACACGCAAATAAAAATGTGAATTTCGAGGCAATTTACGACAAGCTGCGCGAATATGGTAAATAGGCGCAAATATATTGTCTCTTTCCATGCCATATTGGACATGGAATTATAAAGAAAAAAAATTATTAGACTTTTAAAAAATCCGATCGGTAGGCAAAAGAAAAATATATTAAAAAATCAGAGAGCTCCGATATGATCAAGTGCTTGGCAGGTCTGCATCCCTAGCGTGTCAAGAAAGAGCTGAGCAGGCATTTGTACAACCACACACAAAGAGACAAATTTGTTCACATCATTACTGTATGAGACCAAGACAAAATGTGGTTGATTAACGCGTCCGAGCAGCAACAACAATGATAAACTGCTACGGTAGCTCTGAAAATGTTTTGGTACCAATTTGGATATTTCTGCCTGATTGTATACAAAAAGCAATTTACTTAAAAAGTAGTCGGATCACAAAAAATAAGCTATCAGCATGTAAACATAGCCTAACTTTTAAGGATCCCCCTCCCCCCCCCCCCTGATTTATTTACTTGAACAGATCACAGGACAAATGTTACACAGCCATACAGGACAAATTCTTAAGACTACCTAAGCAACTAGGAAAGTAAAGGGAAAGGGGGAGGATTAAAACACTAATTAGCATTATATGCAAGCCTCTCTAAACGCCCATTACAGTGGAAACATTGACCTCTACAGTCATATTTAAATAACAGAGACTAACTAATGAGACTAGAATCTGACACAAAAGAAGCATTTGTCTACTAAACTCATCAGGCTGAAGCCAGTGGAAATCTGTAGAGACAATTATACTGTACAAGAGATGTAAAGGACGCTGCAAAAAATCAGCCACTTGAAAAATTTATGCACAAAAGAAAATCCACGATTTTGTGAAAATGGAAATTAAAATTGATTTGTACACAGAATCACTGATTTGGTCCATAAAGAAGAAAAAATTAACTCTAAATCTTGACTATAAACTTTCTTCCAAGCTATTCCATTTGAGTGCCTGCCAAAAAACAACTTCAAAACAACCAAACAAATGAAAATCTACACATAAAAACTGAAGGGAAAAAACTGAACGTCACAAAACGACACAGCTGCACTTGCAGGCAGCACAGCCAGACACGGAAGTGGACTCCACAGAGGGACCGGTGGGGTGGTGGCGGTGGGGCTGGGCCTGGCGTCAACTCTTGTCCTCTTCGATGGGCGGCTGCGTCCTGCGGGGCGGGGTCGTCTCCTCGCCCTCCTGGGCTGAGTTGTCGTCCTCGTCCTCGTCGCTGTCTTCGGGCTTGTTGTCCATGCGGTTCTGGATGCACTTGAGTCGCTTGAGCAGCTGCTTGAACTTGAACTTGGGGCGAGAGTCGCCGAATGGATCCTGGGGGAGTAGGGTGGTTTATTCCAAGAAAGAGTTTTACCGTGAATTACGGCACTTGCAACACAATTAGGTACATAAGTGCCAAAGATTGCAGGCGGTTTTAGGTTTAGTAAGAGTTTTATGGCACTCGCAACACAAAAAGGTCATATAAGTGCCGAAGATTAGAGGTGTTACAAGAGAGTAACAAACACAAAAAAGAAGAAGTATCAGTTTTAGTAGAGGTTTTACAGCGCTCGCAACTGCATAAGGTCAAATGAGCGCCAGAAGATTAGAGATGTTACAAGAGAGTAACAAACAAAAAAGAAGAAGGGGAGATAAGGGCGATAGATGTTTGACAGGAAAGAAGAAGCAAACCACACCAGAGCACCCGTCAACCAGCCACAGTCCAAGAAAGAGTTTTACGCACTTGCAATACAATTAGGTATATAACTGCCAAAGATTACAGGTGGTTTTAGGTTAAGTAAAAGTTTTACAGCACTCGCAACACAATAAGGCCATATAAGTGCCGAAGATTAGGGGTGTTACAAGAGAGTAACAAACACGAAAAAGAATGAGGAGAGATCAAGACGATAGATATTTGGTAGGAAAGAAGGAGCAAACCACATCAGAGCACCCGCCAACCACCCACAAAGATTACAGGTGTTACAAGAGTAACAAACACCAAAAGAAAAAAAAGAAGGAGGGGAGATAAGGACGGCGGATGTCTGATAGGAAAGAATGAGCAAACCACAGAGCATGATAGACAACCACCCACAACAACGCAGCAATGTTCATTTAGTGCTGGGAAAAAAGCAAGACGCATAGAGGCGGAAACAAAAGTGGGAAAGAAAAGAAATAAGATGAACCAATCCGACTCCCAACTGATAGCAAATTTAAAGTGATAGAGCAAGTTCTGAGGAGTAACTGTCAACAAGTGCTGGGAGAAAGAACACTTTTTTTCATCAGCTTGGGTAAATAAAACACACTAACAACACACCACTGATCATTTCATTTACGACATATCTAATTTTTTGGAGCGGGCAATGCCCAGGTTTGCACGAAAAACCAGAACTACCAAACTGCACTAAAACACCCACACATATTTTATCATGGAGCTGCCAACAGAAACTGACTCATTTTGTTTATTTTTCAAATAATTGAGAAAACACAATTTGTTGTTTTATAAATGATAATGTATTTTTACACAAAACTGGAAATGTCTTAATTTAGAATAACGCCTGGTACTTAAACTAAATGATACATCACGAAGCGTGCAATTACAAAATGGTTATATTCTATTGACGCGTAAGTCTGACTTAGCACCATGACGATATACATAGTGCGATGTTTTAGTTAAAGTTTTACAGTGGCACTTACAACACAGTAAGGTTATATAAGTGCCAAAGATTAAAGATGTTAGAACAGAGTAACAAGCACAAAAAAGAAAATGAGACAAGGACCATAGATGCTTCATAAGAAAAAAGGTGCAAACCACACAAGGCCACTCGCAAACCATAGACATAAAAGGTGATGGAAAAAGAAAAGATCATCAACCATTCACAAAGGACTCGACTTACATTCATGTCCATACTGTCCAGATGTATGTGGTTCTCACACACTTCTACATAGTATTTGTAGTAGTCGGGGAAGGAGGACTCCATCACAGCCCTGGGGAAAAAAATAGCAAAATCAAACATTGCTATTGTGAACTTTCTTGAGTCTGAGTAAAGAGAAACAGCTGTTAAGTGCACGCAAAAAGCAAGATAGACAGAAACAAAAAGGGAATTTTTAAAAGTAGGCAAAATACTGACCCTCTTACCAACCAAACAGCTTATTGTTCCCAAGATGAAGACCCTTTACCAATCATACTGCAACCGTATCACATTCACCCTCAAAGAACCAATATGCTAATAGAATAGTCCTACAAAAAGAAAAAAATGGATTTAAAAAAAAGAGCGTTACAATATCTAAAGAAACTTTCAACAAGATGAATGCTATCCTCTCAAACAGAAACATAACAGCGAACGCAAAGAAAGGTAAGAACCTTGAAGGCGTATATGTCGTCAACCATTTTGTATGAATGTGAGAGCTGGATTCCATCAAAAGACACAGAGAGAAGACTGGAAGCTGACGAAATATGCTTTGGCCACATAAATAGATCAAATGGATTAGAAAAACTGCTGCTGGGTGGGAAAAATACGGGCCGGGGGGGAGCACAGGAAGACAGAGAACAAACCCAGATGGCCACAACAACTTTGCAACAAATAACACGATGTGTTAAACCTAGATGTTCAGACAATAGGAAGGTGTGGGGAACAATGATCATCAGTACACATTCCAGACCCGACACCCGAAGGAGAAGATTTTCCAATGTACTCTTTGTCTTTTTATAAGATTACAAACCTATGTGAATACATTTCTTCAAAACCACAGAAAAATACAAAAATTCCGGGAAGTCATGAACTACTCAATATCCTATCGCTGTCGCAGCCAAGCTCACCTCAGACTGTCTGGCATGCTGCAGAGCCCGTCCATCATGTCGCACACAGCCACACGCACTGTCTCGTGCTGGATGATGTCGTTGTAATGTTTAGAGTCGCCAGAGGTTCGCTCCTGGGGATACATAGATCATCAAAGATTTATGACAAAATATAATAATAATAATAATAATAATAATAATAATAATACAGTCAAACCTGCTCAAATTGCCACCTGTATATGACAATAACCTGTAAGAACAAAAAGCTACTCCCCCCCCCTCCCCCCCGAATTGTGCGGGTGGTTGTTAGTTTTAAAACATTATATATGACACTGTGTAAGACGGCCACCTGTCTAAGGTCAGCCACTTTTCTCCTCGACATTGGGTGACCGTCTCAGACAATTTCTACTGCGGTTCATCCATCATAACCTGACAATGACGATTAAACATTAAAAGAGAAATGGGAGCTAGCACGGTAAAGAGAGTTAACAAAAAAATAATAGCAAACAATGTGTAACGGTCACAAACGCTACAACTCCGTGCAGATAACAGCACTTTTCCCTTTCCGAAAGTGAGCTAAGTTTGCCTAAACACACGGTTAGTTGGTTAAACATTCTTATGGCTTCCTTTGTGACCTACCACATCCCCATCAACACAATTTAGAGCAATTAGAAGAAGGGCCGCTTCCATATAACTCTGCCTGCCATGGCTAACCTGGGAGCTGTTGAATATTTATCCCAATAGAAAGATGGTGTAACTTGAACAAAATATCTTCCCAAAGTGACGATCAAACTCTTACGTCTTCTGATTGCAGGTAAAGAGCCTTACCATTCAGAAAAAAAGACAGGCCTAAATAGAATAGCAGGAGAGCATTTCCATTGCACAATTGTGGGGCACTGTGGTGAAATAAGGAGTTGGCCAAAATAATGAAATCCTGGAAAACGGCATTTTTCTGCAGGTTTGGCAATTTTTATCAATATATTGTTTTTTGACTCACCACCTTTTAATAATAATAGATAGCATAGCGCAAATCCCCGCTCAACAGCAAGCTCTATGCGCTTCACAACTATACTATTACCCCAGCAGACCTGAGAGCATTCTGAAACAATCTCAACTTCCTAGGAAGCATACAGTGCAAGCCACCATTTATAGGCGTTAAAACACTAACATACTGACAAGATCTTTCACAGTCTAAGGCCGAGTACCCATTCCCACCTGGGAGAAGTGAGGAAAATTCGTGTAAAGTGCCCTTCCCAGGGACACAACGTCGGACCCGCGGCTCGAACCCCAGAACCCGCAATCTCACGATTGCGAGTCTGGTAGCCTAACCACTAGGCCAACGATGCCACATGTCCATTCAAAAGCATTTCAGTGTGGATTTTGCTGAAAATCGATGATTAAAAACCCCCCCCCAAAAATGTACATTTTCAGTTTGTCTCTAAGCACTCTCAAGCTATAGAAGCCTCCACACTTTAGCGAAGATTTTTTCGTTAATTTTCCCTCCGAAACCAGGGTCCTCCCCCCCCCCCCTCCTTTTATCACATATATTGTGAGTTCTATTAAAAATATATGGGTTATTTTTTTTCTCCATCAAACGCAAGTCAAATGAACAAGCTTTAAGATGATTCAGATACCAATAACTCCACATGCCCAAAAATTGATAAGCACCTGATTCCACCACCTGTGAAACAATTTATATAGTAAATCTAGGGTGGATAATATAATTAATGTCTATGGTTTAAAAAAACACACAAGTTCAAATCCTGGCTCTTCCATTTCACAATTTATATATGTTTAAGATATATTGTCGCTTTTAAGCACAAGGGGGCTATTCCGAAAAATGCTGTTTTGAGAAAATCAAAGGCAAAATTTTTGCTCCTTGTTCAGTTTCTTTAAAAAGTTGAAGAAAGTTCTCTCTATAACCAAACAAATATACACACCAATGAAACCAAACAAATATACACACCACTGAAACCAACCTTCTCCTACAGGTAGGGCAATGCCCATAGTGGGTGCAGGTCAAGATTTCTGGAAACCCCCGAAACCTGGGTCAGCCCACTTGTCCTTAAAAGCGACCAAATGTCTAAGACATTATAAAAGTCTCTACTGCTATCACACTCACATTTTCAAATCCTAGCTCTTCCATGGCACATGTAACACATCTATGGCTACAACACTCACATGTTCAAGTCCTGGCTCTTCCCCTTCACAAGTTATATCTGTCCTCATGGTTTTATGCACCCCGCATAATATCGCGAAATTTGATCATTTTTTGCATAATTCCTGATTATTTTCCTTTGTCAATCTTTGTTAAAATTAACAGAAGAATCGCGTAATTTCACATTCTTGGGCTCAGTTTGCATAATTTCAGAATTTTTCTTGCATAAAACAACGGGGACAGTTATATGTCTAGGGTAGATAACATAAATGTATATATGGCTACCACACTCACATGTTCAAATCCCGGCTCGTTGTGATAAGGCTTCTCATTCATCAGAGACTGGATGGAGATAAGGACGGAGGACAGAGTTTGGGCGGGACTCCATGACGGTCCAGCCCACGTCCTGAAAAGACGAAAGCTTTTTGTGATACATGGGAGACTGGGGGGGTGGAGCGAGACAGCAGTGCAGACACAAATATCAACATCAGCTTATTTCCTTCACAGACTCATTGAATGCTCGGCTGAAGATTCTGCAGCTTCTTGTGATTCGTTGACACTGAAACAGCCATACTAATAATAATAATAATAATAATAATAACACTAATAATAATAATAATAATAATAATAATAACACTTATAATTATAATAATGACAATAGTAATAATAGTATTAATATCAATGATAATACAGTGGAACTCGGTTTCAGCAAATTCGGATTCAACGAAAACCCGGATTTAACGAAAGGAGTTGGATTCCCTGTTTTTTTCTATTCATAAAAAGCAATAAAAATAACTTGGATTCGACGAACAGATAAATGAGCAAGCCCAGATTCAAAGAAGTCGCTTGCAGGATGAACAGCCCCAGCTGATGTGGCTTCGCACATTTTTCTCCCACAAGGAACCTTATCTATTCTTGGAACCCACCCATGGCATCTGCATTGTGAACCAGTATTCGCCTAGCCTATTGTTCATAATCTTATGCGACCAATCAGCTGTTTCATTTCATACCAAAACACACGTTCTTGGCACGCACACATACATCTCATAGTGTGTGTCTGAGTCAGACGGGCGGTCAGCACAAGTGTAACTGTGAGTGTATCAGGGTGTCCAGCAATATTTCCTGAAAAAATTTACTACCTGGAAAAAAAATTTACTACCCAGCAAATCAAGCCCTACACCAGCTCAAAAAATGGAGTTCATTTGCGCCATCAATAACATATTATTACATAACATATGGAACGAACAGAACACACAACAAAGTCCAGTTGACAAAATGGAGGATAGACAGACGATCGCAAGCTTGCTCCCCGCTAGATTTAGTTTTAGTAAGGTTTTTACGGCGCTCGCAACTCTATAGGTCATATGAGCGACAAAGGGTGGATGTCAACAGAGAAGTCCAAACGGGGAATCAAGCTTCGACTATCAAGGCACCCCGGAAATAGTAGTTCACAAGAGTGACAAAAATACAAAAGAAGTAGCGGAAAATGACGAGAGTAAAGAAGAGGACAGAAAAAGCAGCAGTTCCAACGTTGGTTCAGCACAGTATGAGCATGACATTGATAAATCAGCCCATATTTACAATTCTACTGTGCATAAGAACATGTTAATATCCTCCCTTTGGGAATGGCTTAAAGACGCTTCAGTCAGTAGCACTGCCCTGGTGGTGGTGGGAGGGGGAGGGGGGGGGGTAGATTTAGACCTAATGTGTACACACAGGGTGACTGCCAAACCGGCTTCTCCATTTTCCAGGGTCATGTTACACAACAACAACGCGCACACACGTAATGACTCGAGTAAACCTATTCAGTGTGAGAGGTGTAAGAACTGTGAGAGGGCAAGAGGCAGTGACACTGAAAATCTGCCAGTCAACAGAAAGCTACAATATTGTTCTAATTTACTATCACCCAACCAATGAAACGCGAACACTTTATTTCAATAACACAGCTTACAAGGTATGAAGGATCCCGATTCCACACAAGGCCTGCACCAACACGCGCTTTGCAGAGGGCTATAAACCTAATCAAAATTCTGAAATTTACTGACAAGTTTTTGTCCTCTGGTGTTGCCTTCAGCCCCTCCGCCTTCCCCGAGTGTATCTCTAAAAAAAAAAATCAATAATCCCTGCCCCATTCCGTAGTCCTATACTTCGCAACGCTCAGACTTTTTAATGAACTTTGGCGACCCCAACAAACGCAGGTGCTCACCGATGCTGTATCTTGTGGTGCCTCGCACGAAGGTTCACTGACCGATCACGATCGATGGCGAACCCGACAATCTAATAAATCGGACGACGTTTGTATTTTCTTTTCACCCCCCCACAAACACACACACGTGACAGCACGATGACGAGTCCGAGCAATGATTACATTTTATTTGCACGACGACACAGCATTTATACTGTACAACCTGCATATCACAAATGTTGCGTTATCAGTTTATCGTCTCCAAATTTCTGGGTGGTAACGAAAGCGAAAGTAGATCTTGATTTTCCCAATCGAGCCTCGGTGTCACATAAACTTCCACCTGCCGCCATAGCCGGCTTTTCGTGTGAAACGTACTCTCGGACGGGGAAAAGGTGAACGAATATTATATCACAATCGCGACCGGCAAAAACGGAGTCATGTACCCCGCCGGCTAGGATTCATTGAAAAGTCTTGCTGGCTTCATCACTCAGCATGCAGGCTAATTTACGACCGTTTACCTATTTTTTACTACCTTCAAGGCAAATTTACTACCATTTACGACCTTTATGACCAGGGCGAATTTACGACTTTTTTACGACTTTGCTAGACACCCTGGTGTATGTGTCTAGGGGAGGGGGCACAGGCGTCACAACTTTTTGCCTCGGCTACTGATCAACATTCCAGTGATAAGCTAGTCTTGACATACATCTGTGTAATGAATTGCGTTCTGGAGTGTGGTGGATTCAAATGTTGCTGTACGCAAAGCTCTACACAGCAACATAACTTTTTTGGTAAATAGTATGTTATAGATGATAAATACACAGGGGTGCATTTGAACAAATCAGACCTTTTGCAAAGTATGTGTTTAGTAGAGTTCAGTTGGTATGGCATCAAAGAAATGAAAAGGCCTCTCATTTGAAACTAAAACTACTTACTTTAGATTGAGAAAGTCGAATACATTATACATTACTTGCTTGGTGCCTGGAATAGGTCGCTATTTAGGACAAGCCGGCTAACCCAGATGTCGGGGGGTGTCTTGATCTACACCATAAGTGGGCATTGCTCTACCTGTAGGAGAAGTTAGGTTTCATTGGTGTGTATATTTGTTTGGTTCTGGAGAAAACTCTCTTTGTCTTTTACAAAAACTGAACAAGGGGCAAAAACTTTACTTTCGATTTTCTCAAAACAGCATTTTTTGGGATAGTCCCCTTGTGCTTAAAAGCGACTAATTATCTCCACAAAAACCTCATGTTAGTTAAAACAAACACTCGGATTCAATGAAACTTTAGGTCCGGCCCGACGACTTTGTTGAATCCAAGTTCCACTGTGATAATGATAATAATACTAATCATACTACCACTACTAATATCTGTTTTTCGATCATAAACTGATGATAAACATTTAACATCCAAGGAGGAAAAGAAGTAATAGACTTCGGAGACAAGAGGACCGGGAGGAAACTGACTTCCTGGATTCAGGCTTGCCAACTTTGACAAAACCTAATCAGGACCTACAACTTCATAACAACACTAACTTACGAGTTGGACTGGTTTTGCTCAGTGCTTCAACAGCAGATGACACAAAACTAGAGGGAAATTTCAAATACTTGAATTGTTCGTGGTCAGGCTCTCGAGTTCCAGATCACTGAATCTGGGACAGTCCCAGGAAATCCGGGACAGTCGGCAAGCCTGTGGTGTGTGCATGTGACTTACCCCAAAATACTGAGGCAAACTTTGCCGTTGCGGTAGAGGTTTGGATTGAACCTCACGGTGCCCCCACCTGTAGTCATGAGGCGGACTCGGGGCGGGCTGATGGGGTAGTCTGAGGGGAAGCGGATGAAGAAATAGAAGAATCCTCCCTCGTACGGCGTGTCAAACGGACCAGTGAGGAGTGCGTGGATCTGGTGAGGAAGAAGTATAGAGGACAGTTGTTATGATGTGGTAGAATCAGGTGCTCGTCAATTTTTGGGTATGTTGGGTTTTTGGTATAAATCTTAAAGCTTGTTCATTTGTCTTGCTTTCATCGAAAAAAATACACATAAAAATCGAGATATTTGCGATTGAAAGAGGTGGGGGTTGCCTGATTTCCTGGTAAAATTACAGAGAAAATGGCAGCCAAAGTTTGGTTACACCTATTGCTTGAGAGTCCTTGGAAAGTGAAAATTTACATTTTTTTGTGCTTTAACAAATGATTTTCAGTAAATTCTACACAGAAATTAACTTACATTTAGAGCCAAAAAACAAAAAAATTGATAAAAGTAGTCAATCTGGCGGAAAAATGCCGGTTTCTTTAATTTCATTATATTGACGAATGTCTGATTTCACCACAATGCCTCACATTTGTATATTGAAATAATCTTTGGCTGTCACCACTAATGAAAGTCTCTTCCTTTCAATTGCTGAAATTGCATCTATTCTGCCTCCATGTGCTGTGACCTTCAGCATCCTATATTCTTAAATTCTGTACATTTCTTAAACTCCTGACTAGGGAAGGACCCTGCCCTCTGCTCTATCCACAGACAGTGGCGGCTCACCTTGGTGATGTTCATTGGGTCTGGAATGACGCACAGTCCAGGAGGTGGGTCACTATACAGAGCTGTGATATCACTGGAAAACACAAAACAGGGATGTTGGTTTTGTTCGGTATAAGAATAAGCCCAACAGTGAAAAAAGAAATAAGAAAAACAAAAACAAAAACAAAGACAAAAGAATTATTTTATCTTTTAGAAAAATTGTTTTTCTACAGGCATATATATTATACAGAGAATGCATTAAAAATAAATTGCCAGTTACAAGACGACCCGTCATACACAGAATCACAAAACTCTCCCCCTCCCCTTTACCTGTGTCAGCCCAAAAGTCTACACGCAGTGCAACTTTAAGTAATGAAAGCAAAATTCTCCTCCATTTTTGTATATATACGAGAGGTCAACGTAAAATCAATATATAGTTCCCTTCATTTAATAATTAAGGCAACAGCACAAGTTGTCATTATATATCTTAATAAAAAACATCTCCTATACAAAAGAAACAAGTTGCTATGAACCAGTTCTGGAGAACACAAGCAAATGAAGACACAGCAGCGAAGAAGTTAAAAGACGAATGAGACCTACTTTTTGATGCGTCGAATACAAGCAGGAGATGGAGGGTTATTGAACTCTCCATCCCCAATGTCATCAGGGTCCCATTTAGCATTGAGAAAGTCGGGCACAGTGATTTGTTTATCCTCCGAGTCTGCCGAATGCAAAAGAAAATCTGCAATGGCAGCTTTAGCCTCGGCGCTGGCACCACCCTTTGACTCTTTCGAGTCTGACTTCTCAGAGCTGGTGCTGGCCTCTGGCTCATTGCTATCTTTCAAGTAGGCCTTCGACATGACAGAAGGTTGTTGCTTGTCATGCAGCCTACACGGCCTCTGTGTCCAGATTGGGATGGGTTTTAGTCCGCAAACATGAAAGCTCTCTGATGATATTTCTCAGACAGGTAACTCGTGAGGTCTGGAAAATAGTAACAAAAGTCATACACACCTTCTTGCAAAACAAGACATTTTAGCTGTGGTAAATTTTCACTTCCACTCCTGCATGCAGAAGCACTGCCTATAGGGCGCTAGACCATCATACTTTTTTGGGCTGTAGAAAATACAGAAACCCCCCACAGATTTTAAAAAAAAAAAAGGAAAGGCGAAATATTACTTTGCAATTACGCCTTATGGTACAGATTGAATAAAAACATCAAATATTAAAAAAATTAATTATTCATTTGCCATGTATATGAAGTCGAAATTCATGCAACATGGAAATGAACAAGAAAGTGCTTTTTTAGCCTCAGCATGAGACAGGAGAGTGAAAGTGAAGTAATACACAACAGTTTTACTCTTCTTTCATTTTATAAAGACAATGAACCACAGATAATAAACAAAACAGTAGTACACTCCCTCTCTCTTCTGGCACTGGGGCGTCATAAGCAGTCAGCGATGCCGACAGCACGCAGGAACTTAACATTTGCTCTGGGGTCAGTAGTACACTAAGCTAATAACAAGATGGTGCACCTGGGTAGGCCATAAGCACTAGATCTAGTGTCTACATTCTCTAACGTTAGGCCTAGAGAACTAGAGAATGTAAACACGTTCTCTAATGTTCAGCGCTTCGTCCAAGTGCGGCATCAAATCCCGATACCGGAAGGTTTTTTTCTTCTCCTGAACCTAAAATAAAAATAACAAATAACGAAGAAACTATTTTTCCGAACGCTCCGGAAAATAAACTAGATCTCTATTTCTCCGAACGGTTTCCGTTCTAGAGATTTTTTTGTTATTTGCGAGAGTTCGGCGTCATCTTTCATTCAGCCATGATGCGAGGACTGGGAATAAGCATTTTTTGCATCGAATTCAATTTCTAGAGCTAGATCCAGAGATTTTTAAATGTCTGAATATTCAGATACTTCAGTGGTCGAGGCAATGTTCCCGGACTAATATTCTTCATTTGAAAATGCCTTCAAAAGGTACTGAGAGAAGTCACCCCTAAAGCAAACACTAAAATCCTTCAAGTAAACAAAAATAAAACCTCTCCACGTCCCCACGCCTCGTTCACACCTTATACATACACACACACACAAACTCACACACACACATTTACACAAACTCTCTCTCTCTTTCACACACACATGATGCGGGCCATTCCATATTTGCAAATTATCAACAAATCTCGAAAACAGAAACCATTAGGAGAAAAAGAGTTCAAGTTTCTTTTCCCGAGCGTTCGGAGAAATAAACCCACAGACCAAGGAAAGCCACTATATTGAACTTTAACCAGGCCTAAATTGGTAAAAGGAAAAGTATCTATAGGCCTACTTTGTAGGTAAAAGCTCCTCTTGGGGACAAAACCAGAATGTGCATGCATCACTAGATGTAATAAAAAACAGCAAAGCAACAAGTTACAATTATTATATAGGGGAAAAAATTTTTAGTCAGTCGGGAAGAGACCAGAAGAAGAAAATAAAAATCTTCCAGGACCGGGGTTCGTTCCCACGCTCATAAAATTATGGTTTGACTTCAAACGCTGACGCGCTGTCCATTCGGCCATGAGAACTTCCAACAACGAAAGGAAGATTAAGCTTGATATTCAACGCGTTTTATTTAGCACTGGCGCTAACCGCAACGCAGCATTGCAAATAGGCACTTCCAATCTAAAAAGGGCAAATGCCTGGAGACTGTCCTAATAGGTGGTACCTATTGGAGGATCGGTCAGTTAGGCTACATTTCTGGTGGCTTTAATGCACTAAAAGACCCCACTGCCTCAAACCAATCGTCCAACTTCATCATTCAATGCCTTTCACCCCTGGCAGGGTATAGGCCACATAACTTCTTCCATTTATCTCTCTCCTGAGCCATCCTTCCAAGCTCGTTCCAAGTAGCTTCATCTCTCTCATGTCCCTTTCCACGCATCTCCTCCATGTTTCCCGTGGCCTACCCCTGCCTTGAGCTCCTTGTGGGTTCCACTGCAGTGACTGTCTTGTGATGTTTCCGCTGGGCTTTCTTTTAAAGGGTTGTCCCATCCATCGCCACTTTCTTAATCCTATTTCTACTTCTATTCCTTTTGTCCTGTCCTTTCCCACAGCTCTTCATTTGTTATTCTATCTTGCCACTTAATTCTTAGAATACTCCTACACATCTGTTGATGAAAGTCTGGACTTTATTCAGTACTGTCTTTGTTGTCTTCCAAGTTTCGCAGCCGTAGAGGAGCACAGACTTGACGTTGGAGTTAAAAAGTTGAATCTAGGTGCGCAGTGAGATGTTGCTTGCTTTCCAGACTTTTGATAATTGATTGAATGTCGACCTTGCCTTGGTGGTTCTTGCTTTAACATCTGCCTCGGTTCCACCTTTACCATCGATGACATTTCCATGGTAGGTAAAGGAGTCCACTTCTTCCAGGGGAGTGTCTTCCTCTGTCACAGCAGGGCTTGAAACTTTTCCTAGCTTCACTACTTTTGACTTGCCTGGATGTATACGTAGGCCAACACTCCTTGATAGGCTGATGAGTTCCTTGGTCTTTTCTTGCATCTGAGCATGTGTGTGAGAGAGCAGCGCAAGGTCATCGGCGAAGTCCAAGTCGTCCAGCTGCTGCCAAAGAATCCACTGTATTCCATTATGCTTGCCTCTGGTGGCTTCTTTCATGACCCAGTCCATTGCCAGTGTGAAGAGTTGGAAGTTTGCATTGGTGTGCTCAAAATGACAGTCCAGGAATCACTAAAAAACGAACATTTTTGGCAAAAAATTTACAAAATCAAGATGGTAAAGCTGACATGGGGTCTGAAACTGCTAATGCAGGTTCTACATCCTATATTTGACATGTATATAAATTTTGGAGGAATAAATACTAATGCATCACATTTTATGCACACTAATGTGAAATGTGTGTTTTTCCCCACGTTTTGGCAATGGCTCATATATAAATCCTTCAACATGGGGAGAGAGCCCAGCCTCACTCCTGACAGACCCAGTTGGAGAGCAGTGCAGTCACAGTGGGCAGCAAGTATGAGGCTTCACAAAAATAAAAGAAATGCTGAAATTGAAACCAAGACAGAAGCCCCCAAGCTGCACACATCCGCAAGTGGCAGTAGGCCTACCGAAATAAGATCTTTTGAATGCTCAAAACGTGACTGACAAACTTTTCTCTGATAGTGATAGAGTCGCTCTTCAACTCGGTTGGCCACAGAAAAAGAAAGTGGCTATTCTCACCCGCCCGGAAGTTCTCGCAAGATCAAGATCAACTCCTCCCCTCTTCTCTCTCTCTCTCTTTCTGAATACTGTCTATCGGTGTGGACGATCAAATTGACCAAAACAAAGTTAAAAAATGATGTTAAAACACAAAAGTAAATTAATTTGGTTGTCTACAAAGATGCTACGGCTATTTAACTTTTCGAATCGAGCCGAACTACGCGGGTCGCCATTTTGTTTTGCCCGGAAATTCTCGCGCTACTCCTCTCTCTCTTTCTCTCTCTCTCTCCACTGCCCACAGACAAAATTGTACGCTTTTAGTAGGCTACAGTTGTAATGGAACGTTTGTTCACGGCACAGAATTCTACAATTTTTCTGTTATCACAGTGTAGAATTCTGTGGTTTAGGGAGAACGCAAAATTTGGTGAGCGCGCACCGGGTGAGAATAGCCACAAGACTCGCCTGCACTATTCTCACTCAGGGTGAGAATAGAGGTGGCCACAGAAAAAGCCACAAAACAAGTACAATTAATTCTTCTTCCCTTGAGAAACAATATTCTCCGTTTCCTGTGGATGCATAGGTCGTCAGATTTTGACGGACGAACTAATATTATTATTTAAGAGATCCAGAATCAAGATTCAAAATTTCTTTGCTGACAGTAATAAATACTTGTCAAAGACTGGAAAAACTGAATGAAATCTCTACATCTAGAATCGTTCTACACCAAATGCTCACAAGTGGAATCTTTGTCGCGAAGCTTCATCGACGTAGATTCTTCTATCAAGATCTAATCGCCGTAAACTTGCGTCAGTCAAGGCTAAAACAGTCGTGACTGGTCAGTCACTTTTTAGTCACTACCACCACCACCACTCGTTCACTGCCACCAGTGTTTACATCCACAGTCACAGCCTCCCTCCTCTACCCCTCCCTCTGGTTTGTAGTCAACTTGAAAAAGATAAACGACCTTACTTACTCGTAGTACACAAATCTAGAATTTACATAGATTCCTCACGAACAACACACACCTTTGTTCTGTAAATGCACTTTGTGTCAAAATCGTGAATCTCGTGAACTTGTATGTTATTGTTTTGATGAAGAACAACAAACTGTTCATAACCAGAAGCAAAAAGGAAGAGGAAGTAAACCAAAATAAAAGAGTAACCTTTGTGCGCATGAGCGTAACAAGTCCCTGGCCTTGGGGCCACTGACCTTTGACCTCACTGGTGTCGTCACTGCTGCTTATAACTTCCTTGCTCTATCCGTATGTAGCCTAGTGTTTTACTATTGTATCCATACGACGTTGGGAACTCTGTGCCACCACTTTCCAAAGAGGGAATTAACTCGTTAATCCGATCCGTACGCTTTGCATAGGAGTCTTGTCAAAATGGTATTTTGAGAAATACTGGAAGTTTTAAAGAGATCTTAATCGTACTAGATTCTCTAGACTCTAGAAGTATTCTAAAATGTGAAGAATACAGCACCGGGGGTACAAATAATTGATAGGGTTCAATTTTTTAAAAAAAAGATAAAAAACAAAATTGTTCTGTCTAAACTTCTCAGATCTTTGCATGCGGGTCTAAAATTTGGATGATCATCAAAATCTTTGATGGGCACCGAAAACTAAGGATCCGACACAATGTCAGCCTAGCGGGTCAAAAATTAAAGGCATCCTTCACCCCCCCCCCTCTTCCTCCTCCTCCTCCTCCTCCTCCTCCTCCTCCTCCTCCTCCTCCTCCTCCTCCTCCTCCTCCAACTACAACAACTGCTACTACTACTACTACTACTACTACTACTACTACTACTACTACTACTACTACTACTACTACTACTACTACTACTACTACTACTACTACTACTACTAAAACGTACGACTAACTACTATACGTACTACTAGGGTAATTTACAGCTACATCTAAATTTTAATTATCAAAATGTTGGCTAATTTTCATCAGCACCACGATAACTCGCACCTGTGACATAGTCATAGTTAATTAGACACGGGGGGGGGGGAGTTAAATTCCGAAACTCGCGTGGAGACGTCTATTTCTCTGGACCAACGCCTTACGGGCCTGAGAGTTTAGAGAAGGCGTTGGTCTGGACGGTCTTTGGACAACAAAAAGCAGAAAGGGGGGGAGGGGGGGGGGTGTTACAAGATTACATACATGTGAGGGCAGGGTGGTACGTGTTGCTGTCTCAAAACGAACTTTTGGTAAGCTATTTTGTTATTAAACATTAGTTCTTTTTTATTTCAAACAATTATTTATTTATTTATTTCCTCTTTTTTTTGGGGGGGGGGGGGGGGGGTAAGTGTTTTACGGCTCTCACTGCTGCCTAAGGTCATAGCGCGCGGGTTTGAAAGTAGAGACGAAAGTAGACGACAGAACGTTAAATTGTCAGAGAGCAGGAAAGGATGTGAAAGTAGAAAATTTCAGAGAAGACACAAATTTCGTCGCCATAAAGATTCGAACCCTGGACCTATTGAATGAGAGGCCAACACCTTAACCTTAAATTTAGACCACGACCTCATTTCTTGTACTGAACATGTGCATGCACCCAAAGTTATACATTTGTATTATTATTATTATTATTATTATTATTATTATTATTATTATTATTATTATTATTATTATTATTATTACTATTATTATTATTATTGTTATTGTTATTGTTATTGTTATTATTATTATTTTTATTTTTTAAATTAAATTTTTTTTTTTTTAATTACGGAATCCCACAAGTTGGTTATCCTCTTCAAGAGCATGTACGAAGGGACAAGTTGCAGGGATATACATGATGGGCAGCTCACAGACAGCTTTGACATCAAGACCGGCGTGAGACAGAGATGTTTAAATTTACTATCACCTTTCCTCTTTATCTAGGCAATCGACTGGCTGATGAAGGAAACCACCAGAGGACACAGAAACGGCATACAGCGGACCCCATGGACACCGTTGGACGATCTGAACTTTGCAGATGACTTGGCGCTTTTGTCATACACCCAGGAACAGATGCAAGCAAAGACCACAATTTTAAACAACCTATCAGCATCTGTTGGATTGACGATCTGCATCGAGAAGTCCAAAGTCCAAAGGATAAATGCACTACGAAAGGAGCAGGTCACAGCAGAGGGAAAAGCACTAGAAGACGTCGAATACTTCTTCTATAATTGAAAGAGAGGGAGGAACAGATGCTGAAACAAAGTCCAACATTGGAAAGGCACGGGCAGCATTTATTTCTTTGAACAGGATGTAGAGGATCAGGGAATCTTACTGTGAAAAAAGCTGTGCATTTTAAACTCAAAAGAGAAGTCAGTCTTGTTTGGATGTGAGACATGGAACGCATCTCAGAGAAGCACAAAGAGGATCCATGTTTTCTTGGACAAGTGTCTGAAGAAGTTACTGAGGATCAGATGGACAGACAAGACCTCAGAGATGAGGTGGGAAGAAGGCGTTGTCGATGGATTGGACGCACTTTCAGGATGTCAAGCAGCTGCATAACAAGGAAAGTGTTAGATTGAAACCCAGATGGTAAAAGACCAAGGGGAAGACCACGTGGGACCTGGAGAAGAGTCACGGAAATGGATGTACAGAAAAGTGGGAAGACATGGAATGACGACAAGCGACTAACGCAGGATAGGGAAAGGTGGAAAGTGTTTGTTCGTGGCCTATATCCTGATCCAGGGTGAGAACGGCAAGGATGACCGTGTCGTGCTGTGAAGCTAACCTTTTTCGTGCACTCTGTAAGGACACGTAGAAGCTATAACCAAAAGAAACAATACGTGTGAGCATAAATGTAATCAGGTTTAAAAAATCGCCTTGCTTAAATATATAGATTACAGGTATTTAGTGTTCTTTTACTTCAAAAAATTTTTGTACTCTAATCTTGAATTACAACAAATCCTTAATGAACCCTCTCCAGCCATGTAGAATGTGATCCGGCCCCAATTTTTGTCAATCCCATCTGAATTACTGTGCTCTCTACTCCACGGAAAACAATGATTGCCATCAGTTCCCAGACAGCCTGGCGTAAAAGACTCTTAGTCGGAGGGGAAAAAAATTCAGGTTAAACAATCACGGAAAAATGTGTTTGGAACTTTCCAAAGTATCCAGGACATTAGAGAAGCCGTGATGGAGGGCAAGAGAGAGGTTTCCTCTGAGTAGTATTAACGTGCGATTGTCAGTTATTCCATTCAAATTCACGGAGTCAGAATGTGCGTTACTCGAGATTGGAAGCATATAGAGCAGATCTTGTAACTTTGTACCTGTCATATTCATGTTTATTGTAATTGTGCTGTCACAATAAATCAAGATTGATGTTTCACGTTTGTGCTAACTTTGATGTTTGTACCTTTATTCACAAGTTTTATTGGCACGCTTTTGAATGAACGTGTTTACTAATCACCCTGTACTTTTTATCTTCAAATCTAATGGTTTAAGAGACAAAGTTCTTTAAAACATGATATTTTTTCCAAAGCAGCTTCAAAGAGAAGAATGGCTTTAAGAAAAAATGAAAATTTGAATATATCGCTCTGTGATAAAATTTCTGTTATTTGCAAAGAAAATCAAGGGCGACAATTTTTGAGGAGAAATTACATGTTTACCTTGCTGAATGCCCTTCTAATGAAACTGTTGAATATTGGACAAAGAAGTTCAAATCAACCTGTCTATCCATTCTTGAAAGCCCACGAAACGGGGGTCCACAGGCAAAAGAAAGGGGAAAAGTTATGCTGTCTTGTTCTTTGGGGCAGTGAGAGTGCCATCATCAAAAACTACCTAGAGGGGACTCTCATGGTCCAAAGGTTAAGGTGTTCGCCTCTCATTCAATAGGCCCAGAGTTCGAATCCGGATAGCGAAGAAAAAAAATTCTCTCTAAAATGTTCTCCTTTCAGATCCTTTTCTGATCCCTAACAATGTTCTGTCGTCCGCTTTCGTCTCTACTATTTACCGCCACCACTCACCTCCTTTGCTCCCTCTGGGCTCCCGACTCTTTTTGCAGCCTTTATATCGCTACTGCTTGGCTCCTTCTTACTGCTGTCTTTCAGCCACACTCCTGATCTTATGGTAGGTAAGATCTACACCTAGCAGGCTAGGGGCAAAAAATCTCGGAGGTCCCGTGTGCAAGTTGCCCACGTTAAAGTTCCCTTGGTGGTCCAAAATCGATAAGAGATTTTATTCGGCCGCCACCTTGGCAAACTTAAAAAATTCCTTCAAACAGAAAATGTTTATTGTGTCCCGCTCGCTCATATGGCTTTAAGCAGTTGCGAGCGCCGTAAAACACTTACCAAAAAACAGCAGCAGCAGCAACAACAACAACAACAAACTACTTAGAGAATGGCTATAACGTCACGGAGGTATTTTATTCGGCGTTGTTGATGAAACTACTATCTACCTTGGCCAAGACAAGACGACAAAAGGCACATTAATCACTAAAGACAACCCAACACTTTCATTTGTCACTATGAGATCTAAGAAGCGTACTGTTGTCCCTGACGAAATATCTCCTTTACAGCTCCAACTCACACTGTTATTACCCACTTCATTAATTCTACAAGTTTGTACACTCTTCCCGTCCCATAGCTTGGTAATAGACAAGGGACGCAATAGTAAACAAATAATATTTTTTTTCAATCTTATCCTCAGTTAGTTCCCTTAGACCGTTCCGTAGATCTTTCCTGCGTCGGCTCGCGAAGCTGAGTTTTTTCCGAATCACCGAGACACACGGCTGTGTTTTTTCCCCCTCTACATACATGTACTCACAAACACATCAGCTCTGTAATTTTTTTTTCACTAAAATGCCTGTACACACACATTGACACACTAAACGTATCTCTTTTCACACAAACAAAAAACATAATATTATATGTACACACGCTGATACACCAACTGAGCCTGTTTTGCCGCAACGTTAGCACGTCCTGATCAAGCTCCTTTTGTTGCGAATGA